CTACAATGTAATTTCATCTCGGCAAGCGGGACGAAATACTCCATATGAACGCACGGAAATATTCGTCTCGGTAAGCGAGACGTCCCGGTAAGCGGGATCATATGAACAGGCCCTTAAAGGGCACTTCTGCCCCCCTTGCCCCCCCTAGCAAAAGGCAAGAGGGGCAGCTGCCCCTCCTGCCCCCCCAGTTCCGGCGTCCCTGGCTTGGGGTAAACCCCTGTTGTCCTCGCCCCTCCTTTATTTATTGAGGATAAGAAATACAATCCGTTACAAATTATACTCCCCAAATTATGTCACTAAAGGCCCGTCTACACCTGTATTTTTTGCTGCGATTTCTAGTGCGAATTCTTCTTCTGATGGATGTGAACGAGTAGGTGAGTTATGAATGTTCTGAGTACATGTTCCCTCATCTGAACATCCATAACACATCCACTCGTTCACATCCATCAGAAGAAGGAAAGCGAACCTGAAATCACAGCAAAAATTGCAAGTGCATGCTGCATGTAAACGGGCCTTAACGGTATCGAAGCAGTTTAAACCTATATTCACACATGAGTCAAATTTATAATTGTTTTATTTTGTTTTGTTCAGTGCATCTTGCAGCTGTTGAGGGTCATCTACCATGTGTAAAATTTCTCATCTGTTCAGCACCAAGTATCGATCAAGCACTAAATCTACGTAATGATCAGGTATGTCATGGTTAGTCTCACAAAATACTGTATTTCTTTGAAATATTATAGATGTGACACATTTAATAGCAGAGGCAAGTGCCAACCTCGAGCAAAGTGTAATCTCAGGATCCTGGATCCGGAAGCAAATTTGCCTTGCCCACAAGTTTGGAAAATGTTTTCGTTCACAGTTTTTCACACACATTTTATGGGCGAATTGGAAGGAAGATGCAATTATATTTATTAAAATGGCGTAATGTGTGGTTAAACTGGGATAAAAGAAACATTTCCCTGCAGGTCTGGGCAAGAGTATGTATATACATATTGTTTATGGTGACTAACGCAGTTGATGTCCATATTGGTGCGATGTCAAACACAGATAGTTTTGAAAGTTTTGATGACTTCGTTCTTCAACATTCTATTCTTCCAAAAAAATGTCAGAGATTCCAGTGTTGCGTTTAATAGAAACAGTTCAATACACCAGCTTGCAATGACCACGGTATCCTATGCCACTATTTTTACCTGTGAGAAGATCGAGTGGAAGAAAGCTTATGAAAGATATAGCTAATAGATTGTTCAAAATTTTTTGTTTAATTCTTATTTGTTAGTTTTGTTTGGTTCTCTAGAAGTTCTGTTTATTTTGTTGATGATCTTGTCTTGGACTGTGAACTTGGTGATCTTGTTTATTCGTTTGGTTGTCTGTTTCTGGTTTTCATTAATTCTTCCGTTTTCTTCACTCTCGGTTTTGCTTTGACGACCTGAACGATTGCCTTGATGGTCGGGAATATTATTTTCATTACCAGTTTGTGTCCTATCGTTTTCAATATCTAGTCGATTTTTATTAAAAATGGAAGATCAGAAACTGAGCTGCTTTCTCCAGTGTTGTTTAGAAGAGTAAACCGTTCCTTCTTTCCTGTAAGTCTGAACTACAGTATGATCTACCTTAATATATTCAGGCCAATTATTAAAGTACAAAGCTTTAAATGCTTTTTTTTTAATGCTATTAAGCTTTTAACATACTTTAGATTGACGTAAGATAACAGTCCTAGATACGTCACAAACACACAGCATACACAGATACATCACACAAATTAACAATCTATAACTTTCAACAATTCCTACTATTAGAATTAAAGTTTTTATATTAGTATAAACTGTACGTGTTCAGTTCCGTCATCTTAGACAGTTTGTTCTTAAAATGTGCTTTACAGAACGATCTAAACCCACGTGCTGTGGTAGGTTTCTTTGCCACATCTGGAAATCTGCTCCACAAGGAAGGAGCTAGAATGAAAAGAGCCAAGATTTCCGATCCAAAAAGACAGAATTAACAGCTGGCATTTTATGGCAGCTTAGACCGGCCGACACTTTCACATTAAAAGACTGAATGAAGTCGATTAACTTGCAAGTCAACAGCCACCTGCCGAGTAACGATCCTATAGGTCTATGCTGAATAAAGTGTTTTTAAAAATTTAAACGTCAGCGTTGTTTCTAAAATAAACGATCAATTAACATCTAGTTTTAGCGTAAGTATATACTCACACCCACAAAAATGAGTAATTTGCTTATATTTAGGGCGAAAAACCGCTGGACCTATGTCGACAGATGCAGAAACAGGATTGCATAGATTATTTAACAGCTGTAGGTGAGTGGTTATATATAGTGATTTGAACAGAAACGGTGGATAATTAGATCCCCCCGTTTTTGTATCGTATAAGATATTCCTGTTTTCCTACTCCAATTAGGAGGTAGATATACCCAAGCTGATGTTTAGTAAATGCTGGATAATTATTAATTTTTCCATTTCTAGAGTACGATCTTTTGCATCCTGAGAAAGAGGAAAGTAAGTATAAAATAAGTTCATGCGTGTATAATATGTATACTATAGTATTGATAAAAGTTGTATATCGAGTGAGTACTCAAGCTAGATCACCTTACTTACTGTAAACGGGTTTCCGGACAAAGGAATGTAATAATAATATCCTGGACTGACTTCTTTCATTGGAGTAAAGGTGCAGGTACAGTATAATCAGTGCAAGAGTAAAGGTGCAGGTACAGTATAATCAGTATTCAAAAACTATACTGAGAGAATAGTGACTTTAAGCAAAGTTGTTGTGTATTGTCTGTACTATACCGGTATATGAATTTAATACAGTTTGAGGAGGTTAAAACAAATGCAAAAACATTCTGCTGGACAAATTTGTAGACTTACGGTACCACTTAATTGTCGCGGCTTCAAATGTTTGCATTTTACAAGAGACACGAAAATATCTAGTCTTCCATTGTAGAAAGCGCAAGGGCAACGTCTCTAACTCCTCTGATTATTCATTTCTTTTCCACCTGATCAGGAATATAATTGTGCCATCGTCATCGCACTGCTTGCTTAAGGTCCCTAATATATGAGAGAACGAAGTTAAGGCGCTCTACAGACGTTTTAACGCCACTGGTTCTGTCTCAGTTTCAAAGTAGTTGATCGTATTAAACTGGGCAGCCACACCTTAGTATTACTTTCTTCCTAGACCTGGCATTCCCTGCCCACGCTGCTGCGTACAATGGAGATCTGTCACATTTAAGAATGCTCATTGAGACTGGCGTGGTCTCGGTGAATGAGAGGAATGATAAGGGATCCACGCCTGCACATAAAGGTGAGATACAGTAACTTCATTCATTCTCGTGTAAAACGCTATATCCTTATGTTTACATCCTAATATAGCATATATTAAACAACAAATTTGACGTTTTAATCTGTGCATCCATGACCTCTCGCAGTCCTGACCTGCCTCATACTTACTGAAAATATATGAGTTAAGCAGTGGTGCACTAACTAGCGATGATCAACTCAACCCTTCTTCACCTTTGACTAATATACTGAAATTTGAGAATATTTAAATGTTAAAATATTTTAGAAACGTCGCTTTCATGACAAAACCTGAAAAATAACAGTAAAATTCTTATAGTTTTTATTGTAACTTTTTAATTTACCAAAATGAGAGGTGAAAGTTTCTGGGAAAACACAGTTGAAAATACTTGTTCGTTTGCTCAAGCAAACAATCCTGCTGATTGTCATCAACGATTTTATTTAAAATTCCTTTCTACAGCTGCTGGTAACGGCCATGTCGAGGCTCTTCAATGGTTGGTAGAAAAAGGAGCTGACTGTAAGTATAACTAATATTGGGTGGTCAATTGCCGTATTATAACTACATTATGTTATAATCCTCTTGCCCCAACATGTACTCTTATCGACTGACATCAGTACTGACATTTCATAAATGTAAACCTCAAAATGAGTCAGTGTCACAACCTGGAATAGACGCATTGTAATTTGTATGTCTAATGTATTTGCTTAAGAAACGTTATCATACTTATCATATTAATATAATGCAGAGGGCCAGGGGCGTGTATTCATTTGTCTTAATAACTTAGGTATTCAACTTGAAGAGTATACACACGCATGTTTGTAATTTCTTTAAGTTGGATATAAATTATATGAAGTTTTATATGATGTTTTAGTGTCAATTGTGAATTCGGCTGGTGAAACACCAAAAGATGTCGCGAGACGATTTGGTAGATTGGCTTGTGTTAATTTACTCGGCGGAGACACAGGTAGGTTTGTTCTCTTTCTAGCTGATCAGATACAGAAATTTAGACTTTATACCCATGTTATTCTTCGTGTAAGACGCCATTTATTTCGCTTATCAGTGCACATGCAGTTGTTTGCACAGAAAGTCGTGAGTAGCTATAGTCAATATGAAATAACTTGACATACAAATTTTTCTTATTATATTGAATTCTTTGTTGTAAATGGCTTAAAAAACGACCCATCTTATGAGTTCATTGACGAAGTAATTTTAAAAATAAACGTTGTCTAAGCCGAGAAAATTAAAGTTAAAGTTTATGTAAATCAACATGAATCTGTATCACATATACAGATACGACACGCTTATGATTTTTCTTTGTGTTTTCTTCATGAATTATTAATGAGTTTTTTAAGTTTACTTATAATAAGTTGCAGATTTGCATGTTACGCTATCGAGCTGGGTAACACAAGATTTGAATCTTTACAGCGACTGCTATCAGGCACTTCTTATCAGAGTTAACACTGCTGGTCATTCACTAAGTATTATTGTTGGTTTAATTAAACAGGTAATGAAGATTTGATTGATGAAGCAAGTCAAGATCTAGAACAGAGAGAACCCCAGTCAAGTGCTGAAGCTAAAGGTACTATATATATGGATCACCCAAAAAAAAAGCAAAGAAAAGGCGGGGTGGGGGATTATCTTAAGAAAATTACATTAAACGCAGATACACGTTCATGCAGATACGATGCATTGCAGTACAATTCTTGGGTTTCGATCACGTGATGTTTGGGCATAATTTGATTCAAGTGGGGGCAAATCATTGAACTATTAAGGTCAACTAAACCAACAAAGAAACAACATGGCTGTCAACGTATCTTATGTAAATTAGTTCTCCAACAATTATAAAAGCCAATAATATAAAACAATGCAAACAATTTAAAAGTCATCCTTTACCCTTGACACATACCCTTGACCCCCATGTGACGTCATATGAAACCCGAGACTTCCATATTTGTCGATGAATGAAACTGAAATTAAAAACTAAGTAACAAGACTAACGGCAAGGAAAAGTTCCAACCAAACCAACCAAGCAAAACGATCAGCCCATCCCTCGTGATAAAATATAAACAGTCCCTTTTCAATACATGTAACTGTTGTGTTGAAAGGTCGAGCAAAACGTAAAATGGACGAACTACAGCGTCTGTTGGACACAGCAAAGATGAATTATCAACAACTTGGAGGAGAATTAGAGGAAGATAAAATGAAACAAGAAGAGCAAAAAGAAAGCGCAAGGTAAGTCATCAGAATCATTTCCAGCTTGTATTGTACTGTATTGTTTTTAATAAATTATTGCAAATATATGTAAAAGCCTATACTTATAAAGGGAATAATACTGTATACCAGTAACAATGTAGAAATTTAACCTTTTCAAATAAAATTTATTCATTTAGTAATAAAATAGAATCGTTATTTTAGTGTCTTTTTTAACTTTATGTTTACATGAGAAAAATCAGCCTTCTTGCAAAGGCTGGCTTGATAACGTTCATATCATGTAAATAATTCAGTATTTTGCCAATTTTTTTGTAAATAGCTCTTAATATCTTCTTTATGGAATTTTTTCTATTTTTGCACACGCCCCTCGTGGAAATCAGCTTTGGTTGACGGGGTTAGCGTGTATAAATAAAGTCTATCTATCTATCTATCTATCTATCTATCTATCTATCTATCTATCTATCTATCTATCTATCTATCTATCTATCTATCTATCTATCTATCTATCTATCTATCTATCTATCTATCTATTCCGCACATGGCCGCCATTAGCCACACTGGAACAGTGGAACACAGGCTAGGTCTCCATACTGTTAGGCTCATTTATTTTCTCACAAACTCCAAAATTGTTTTTTGCAGAAAATTTCCGAATAGCAACGAACTGACAATTGAATATTGTTCTATAGCTAAATATTATGAATAAAAAAACAAACATCAGTTCTTGTTCATGCAGCCCTTGAATTTGACAGCCATATTATTATGTATCCCTATATAACATTAAAACAGACAGTTTAAAATCCAGATAAGTAGAATTATATAATCTACAGCTGAAAACTTGCTGAATTCGTATATGCTTTTCATACAGGGTAATTCGAGAATTAGAGGCCCAGTTAGAATATGAACGAATACGTCGTGAGGAACTCGAAGCTGATTCAGATAAACTTCGCTCAAAAATTCATTCTCTTACCTTGGAACGTGAAGAAATGCGCAACATGTCTTTATCTAAGGTACGTTTCGTACATTATTATGATATAGCCAAGATATTTTCTGTAAAAATTATCCGTTATATATGGTCAGTTATGTTTTAGACGTGATTTTTTTTGTTTCCACAACCCTATGTTTTTGTGATGGTTAATCATTGTAATGAAATACAAAAATTTAAGTAAATAACTTTTCAAAAGAACCAGCCACGAATATCATAGTCTGTCAAGATATAACGGTCTGGTAGCCCGGCAAACTTCAAAGTTACAAAATAGAAGACCCTTGTTTGATGTTGAACTGTTCCTGACCGTGCACAAATCCTTTATCTCAACTTCGTTAAATATTATTCATCCTGGTTGCACGTTTCATCTCAGCTATCCTTATTGGACGATTACTTCATTATCAACGAAAATATAACGAGCTCAATCACCGTGGCCGTGCACAAATTAACATTTAAACTCAGACAAGTACATAACACAATAGCCTATCAATCTTCCAGACCATCAATCTTGACAGACTATGCGAATATCGATCACTTGTGTTCTAGGAAGTTAGTTTATGAAAAAAAAATATTTTACGAAAACAAATTTATTTTACGTTTGTATTCAGGGTGTTAGCCGGAAGAAAAAGAATCGCCATTTTAATGAAGTTGGGAAATTCTGTTAGCCCGACATTCTCGTGGCCTAACGCGAGGAATTTAAAATCTTCGAAATGTAACATAATTGTTTTGCGTACTAAAAGCAGGCAAACACATTTTAGGTAAATTAGGCTAGATGACATCCACGCGCAACACTTATCTGCTTCCCAACTCTTCTTGAGCGAAGCCTTCAAGTTGAACAATCGTATACTTTTTTTCTTAATGGTTTTTGCGGATCTAAATTGGGAAATTTCTAGCAAAATGTAATTGGAAAAACGGCGTATAACGCTGAATTTTGAACTTGGTATTTACTGTGCCAAATTAGTAATTATAGTTCACTGAATGGTGTAATCAGAGTTTTCCCTCGTAAAGAGAAACACAACATAGCCTCCATTCATGAAATGTATTACCTTTAGGCCCAGTTATCACGGACTCTTGAACCTGCAGTGAATCGACAGCGGAAGAAGAAAACGAAACCACGACCACACACGGCATTTGCCAGCGGTCTTCATGGCTTCTTTGAATAAAGTGAAGCAACGATCCACACGCGTTGACCCTAATCTAACCCTAACCTTCGTCTAAACCTGACGACCTTTAAGCATGCATCTAACTGATATGACTTTGAACGCATTGACATTTGGCTACTTATTTCAGCATATAGATATCAAGGAGTTTAAGCAAATTAACTCGTTTTTGTCAACACGGACGCCATATTGCCGAGGGGGAATCGAATATAATGTTACATCTTATTAGGGGGGGCAGGCAGAGGAATCGAATATAATGTTACATCTTATTAGGGGGGGGCAGGCAGAGGAATCGAATATAATGTTACAGAGTACAGACACAGAGATCGGCGCCTTTGATGTCGACACAATCGCCGCCATGTTTATTAGCCAGTGCGCTAAGGAGAGACAGTCACCCCTGGAAAACATTCAATGCCGGAAGTATAATTGTTTGGTATTTGTGGAAACATCACGTTTATTTTGTATTACTAGATTTCGATCCGTAAGTTTGCATGGACCTTCACCAGTGACATTGTAATTATTATAGCACCAATGACCCGGCAATGTCAATGAAGCCGACCGGATTTGGATAGAAGGCTTCGCCAAAGTCGATGCTCAGAAATAAACGTGTCCACAGAACAAAAACAAAACAATTATATTTATTTTTACCGTTCAAACCTACAAGGTCAAGGATCTTATTGTACATTATAACAATTGATATCAAGATAACGAAATATCCTTAAAAAGCAAAATTAAACTAATTATTGAAAAAACAAACACAAAATGCTTGAGAACGACTATCTTTCTATCTCCAAATTACGGCAAATAAAAAAATTTCGAAAGTTCTTCAAATCTTTGTTTAGCTTCAGCGTAATTGCCTGAATGTCTAGTATGTCTATACAAAGTCTTTTCTTCTGTGATATTTGCCCACAGGCTTAGCCATGAAAACAGGATAATTTACTGCAATGACAACGAAATTTAAGTCCGCTTTTAAGGCAAAAAGAATATAATTATTATGTAAAACTGTAAATAAGTTATACTGTACAACTTTTCTAGTTTATTCGTTCTCGAGATATTTTAGTTTCATTTGATATGTAAATGAATAAATATATGGAATTACAAGCGAGTAAAATATTAGTTTCAAAGATGGCAGTCTCGTCAAAGGTTCAAAAATGATGAAATAATTCAACCTATATATTTATATATATATTGTTGATTCCTTTCACCAGCAAGTGTACCCCACGGGATTTAACATACGAAATTATGATTTTTTTCTGTGGTCGTGTAATGTACTGTACTCAGGTGAATATGATGCTTGTGATGTTACTCTTAGTGTATATCCTCACCGGGCAAGCTTGAAAATATGCCTGGCCACGGTGGGAATCGAACCTACGACCTTTGGAATACTAGCCCATCGATATCGAAGGAACTAGACTCAGTTCCGAAATATCACATACTCGAACCGACCTGACCGCGTAGCTCAGTTGGCAGAGTATTGGGCTAGTATTCCAAAGGTCGTAGGTTCGATTCCCACCGTGGCCAGGCATATTTTTCAAGCTTGCCCGGTGTGGATATACACTC